TTAGAAAACTCAGCTTTTCGGTTATGACAGTGGCTGGGGTGGCTACATTCCCTTGGTAGCTGGCATCAAGCAAGCATCACTCTGACACTGAGAGCCAACATTTACCAATAGCATCTCTGAAAAGTTGAAGATGCAGGTAATAAATAATGGCACACAGTTATGACTGTAACACAAGCCATGTTGAAGAGCTGGCAGGGCTGGAGGGCCTGGCTCAACAGCTACCTGAGTGAATGCTGAGATCTGCCTTGTTGCCTAAAGGCATTGGGTAAGGCTGAACATGAGCACAATTTACCTTCTACTTCCTAAGCATAGCTGATTTCCACAAAGATAGAATTAAACTTCCTTTTGTATGGATGAAAAGACTCCCCTCGGCTGAAGTGGTTCACTAATTAAAGTAGCCCTTTGTCCAAGGTTAGTAAGTTAAAAAATAGCAAGTGTGATGTTGTCACAAATCTACTAGTTGTTGTGAAGGGAGACAAGAAGTGTACAACCAACACATCTTCAAATCTCTTGCTGAATCTCCATTAATCCCCTGCATTCCAAATATCAGAGCAGCCACACTGGGCTGGGGATCTGCTTCCAGCTGGTCAATAGTGACAGGAAAATCTTTAAACCTCCTTTTGATCCAGACATAAGTTGTGCAGGATCTGCATCTCACAGACCAGCCCTCAGTTCTCCCAAGACTACCTGCTGCAAGCCGGAGATACCGTACACGGAGCCAGCAGGACTGTGCCATGCAGGAAGTGTTCATGTGTCTGGAAGCACTGCTGCCTCCCAGCTCCCATCACTTATTAATGACCTGTTATTCACTGCTGAAATGCTGCCAATTTGTATTATATAGGCAGTCAGGCAAGGTGATCATATTGGCCCACAGCAGCTTTAGCCTGTGAGCGAGGTGCAGAGCTTAAGCCACACTGATTTCCACAGGGTGAAGAATCTGGGAGAGTTGCTTTTCATCTTTGGGCATAATCACATACACTGACAAAAGAAATGTGACTTTGCCTAACTTCCTCCTCAGACATTATGTGACTGCAAAGCCCACCACATCCCATCTCCAAGCTGGTAGCTTTTGCAGCACAAAGTAAATCTCTCACAAAGAAAGTCAAAGGAGAGAAGGGAAATAGCTTTGTATACTGCACTTCCTCCTCTTCCGCTGAATGGGAGAGGCAGGCTTTGCAGAATCCCTTTCTTGTGTTAGGCTGTACCTCTTCTCTGGAGAATTACCCCTTGTTCCAGAAGCATTCATGTTAGGAGGAGGAGGTCTGAGACATGGGAGGTGAGGAATATTCTGCCTCTACACAGTTGTATGCCCCAGGTATTCCCCAATCACCATGTACACACAGCTTTTTTACACAGCACTGCAGATGTGCTTGTGTGTGCACCATTTTTCTGAATGGGTTCTGATAATCTCTCCCAAGCCATTGCACTTCTGAGCAACTCAGAGCTGAGAACAGGTGCAGGTATTGTAAGAAAATAACCACATATTATAACAGAAAAGCACTGTTTTAACAAATAACAACTGTAATTACATGAAGATACTTCTTATAATAATTGCGACTCCTCTTTTTGCTGATGCTTTGAAAGTCTGCTATGGTTACAATGGGTATTATGCAAGATTGATCCAGCTTATGTTTTACACGCATACATAAAAATACATTATGCTCTGTTGCAGTCCAGAATTGCACCCCAGATATGTTCTTGCAATGTCCAAAGTAGAAGAATGTAATGATACCCAAAGGCCATAAGGAAATCCAGGAGGCCTATGAGCATGCAGGAATCTATGTGCATACAGCAACTCACATTAACACTGATGGGAGTTAAAGCACATCAATCTTTTGTCCACCCAGATGAGAACACCATGAACCAATTCTTTCCTGACTTACATCCAGTATTGATGGAGGTGAGAAGGCTGCAGAAGGTGCAGATTGGGGAAGAGCCCAAACCTCTGGCTATTCCTGAATTTAATCCTTTAAAATCTGCTCTGCCAGCACTATCAGTAACAGTCTGATCTCATGCTACTAGTGTCTAGAGGATGGGGATGGAAAACAAGGATCTGTGTTATGATTTGGTAGCACTGCCACAAAGCAGGGGGCTCTGAACAACCAGACCTTAAAATGAACTGGATAAACTGAACTGTTCATCCTTCCTCTGAGCCCCAGTACAAAATATGTACAAAACAACAGCAGACATGGGTTACAACCCGTATTTAGAAGGTATAAATAGGAACATCTGAAGGAATAAACTTATTTGCTTCCTCTTTCACCTGTTCCATAGTGCTGATAAATTTAAAATCTGAACATAACCCAGTGCCACACAGGCCCATGTTTTTGGGGCATTTATATTGTTGAAATGCAGAGTAAATGAATAAACCACAGAGCTCACTACTGTTACTGCTGTAGCTAAACTGCTTCTGATACATAAGCCAGCCTCATCTGTTGTAATAGTCTTGATTTACGCTATGAAGATTTCCAGTAAATTATACGACAGCTCATATATGTTTTCCCTTATGGCCAGAGGAGCTTCTCTGTTCTTCAGAGGCTGTCTTCTAGAAGGTGTTGGAAAGCAAAAGATGCTGCACTGCTGCTTGTGACTGGCCCTTCAGACGTTACACCTCAGCACAGACTGAACACTGCCCTTTGCAAAGCTCTTTTCAGCTCTTCCAGAGACAAAAACTGAGCAGCTTTGACAGTGTAACTCCATTAAAAGAGCTTATCAGATAAGTCTGGTTTCACACTTAAAATGCTTTTGGTCTCACTACCCCAACCATCTGCTCTCGTGACAGCAGTTCTGCCAGCCTGCTGGGATTTGCCTTTGCTGCTGGTCAACAGGAACTTCTCTACAGAGAGGAGAGCCATCCTCTTTGGGAAGGTCTGCCAGGGACACACAGCTCAGCAAGATGCAGGACTGCTAATTTGCCTTGAATCCTGGGGCTATGCCCAGCTCTGACACACAGCTGCTGTGTGAAACTAGCAAGTACCATCCCTACCCAATGCCTCAGTTTCCACTGCTGTAAATTACAGTTAGAGAAACTTGTTTTCCCCATAGAGCACACATACAAAGTACGGTGCAGCAATAAAATATCACTGTTTCCAAATGGGAAAGATGTAAGTCTTAAGATACCACCAGTTCACATTACATTTCACTGCTCAGAGCCTCTGTTCTTGCTTTGGAGACAGCTTTGGACAGCTGCAGAACACATGCTTCTGCAGCAGCAGTGATAAGCAAAGCACATATGAAATACATGCAAGTGAAGAAAACACAAAATCAAATTACATTCATGAGGAGGAAGCTGAGAAATCAGCCACAGACAAGCTGTCAAAATGTCCTGACATAATGAGAGGAATCTTGTGGCATCTATTTATACATTGGGGCTTATGCACATCATAAAACTTTGGGCATCTGAGGTACTACTGTATTTCCACAATCATAAATAAACCCAACCTTGTTTTGTCTATGATCTGACTTTCTATTCTGGGTTACACAGGCAGGAAATGTAACATTGTCTGTGGACTACGTATGACTAACAGCATTAGAAATCTACAGGCAACTACCAGCAGTGGAAAGTGAACAGAGTATTAAGCAGACTCTAGCTCAGCCGTAACGTAACTTAGAATATTTCTGTGGGTTTAACCGCCTGCCCTGAAGTGTGTATTCCTGCCTACTTCTAAGTCAGTCTTTGATGGATTTTACATGTCCATTGCCGTTTTGAAATTCACATCCTTTGAATAATGTCAGAAAATCCCATAACTTCCATGTCAGCTGGCCTTGAAAAGTTTAGCTTTTGTGGTTTTAACTGCTCAAACAGGTGGCTCTGTCGGAGTTTTCCTTCACTTCCCTATATCAGCAGGGTGACAGTGCTTTGAACACTGAGCCAGCCCCTAAAAACATAGAAAGACCATGTGGTCAGAAAGCAGGAACATACATACAGGAACATACAACAACAGGAACTGCAATTAAAGTGCATAAATCACCAATCAGAGTTACAAAGCACAAACATCCAACTACTAGTACAGTGTATCTACTCTTCTAATCTTTAGAAAGAACAGTATACTGAATGAATATCTAAAAAAAAATAACCTTTTAAAATTTGGCAAAGTGGAATAACTGATTGAAAGTCCTTTTTACATTAGCTTTTAAAATCACCAAATTTGAATTAAGTTAATGAAATATCCCACTTTAACATCAGCTGGGGCAAAGTAGATAGATAATCCTGAAGTAACAACAACCATTACACTGGTTTTGTTCCAGTGGTCTCATAGGATCATAAAGGCTAATGACATTAAGCTTCCTGTTAGTTAATGTTAGCTGATGAAAAAATGTTCCTTGAGAGAATCTCTCTTATTTTTATGACTAGGCGTAAGTTATAGGGAGTGTAGCCCAGGCAGTAAAGTAAGGGGAGGTATTTCTTCCTTTCTCAGTTGTTTTACCCTTTGAACTATCCTGAACAATCCCTTTCTGCATTCTGACTGGCTGTAAAGTGGCTGTCACATCAGCTGCCAGAGCCTAAGTTGTGCATGTTGGGCAAAACCCTAAATCAAGTGTAGGGATGATACAAAGCTCCGCTCCCCCCTCACATCTCTGGCGCCTGCTGCTCTCGAGTGGCACTGCTAGCAATGGACGCAGACCTCACTGCACAAGACCTTGTACAAAAACAGAACAAAAAGTCTTCACCCCCTAAGAGATTTCAACTGAAACTGGAGACATAAAAGAGCAGCTGAATCCACAGAGGCAGGGAAGGCTGGTTTTGTTCTCTCAGCACTTTCAAGCGGGCAAGAAGCAGGCAGGGCTGGCTAACTGCATCTGAACTTGTTCAGGAATGAAAAATGGCCGTAATTTTGCAGTCTTGATTTACAAAGTTAGGCTGTGTTATTTCCCGGGCAGACCTTCGTTGCAGTGCTGAAAAGCACTGTAATTCTCCCACCTGTTGTTTTTCCTCACTGCTCACTCAAACTCACCCTCCTAGACACACATCCTGCTTGAACACGGAAGCTGCTGGGAACATGGCTGGTGATTTAATTCTCCTTGCGGCTGTCTCTGTTCTTTCCGCCCTCCAGCAATGTAAGATCTATGGGGTTGTGTGGCTGGGGCTGGGGGAGGCTTCCACCAGTTCTGAAGTACTGGAAATTATTTTATGGTAAACTGGCTGCTCTGTGACTTTAATTCCCAAGAACTCCTAAGATTTTTCTCACCGGAGCATTGTTTATCCTCTCTGCAGTCTAAGAGGGAGCTGACTCAGTGGGACAGATTACTTTTCCCTGTGGGAGAAACTAATTTGTTTTCAGTTCTATTTTGTTTGCTGACTTCTTGGAATCACGCTGTTGCGAGAGCTTGTAACTAGCTGTAAATTAACCCCAAAGCCACATCATGTCTTGGTTTTGCTGCTTATTTAGGCACCTATACGATTGAAAACCTCTAAAGTGAGAGTAAATTTATGAAATCAAATACCCCAGTGCTGGATTGAAAGCACTGTAAAAGCTGCTTCCTGAAATTGAGATATATACTAAGTATCTGAAGTGAAAGAAAGCAGCTAACCTTTACACCAGGCAGCAATAATATGAGATACTCCATATTATGTCCTCATCATTACATTTCTTTAAGATCTAAATGGATTTATTTTATGTGCTGCTGATATACCTCCGAGGATCAAGGACTAGGGA